GACTTAGCACATTTTGTTGTATTATGTCATGTAAGGCGTTCAATTCGGCCTCGTATCTGCGAGCAGGCATATCATTTGGTGCATTTCGTTGTGTTTCTTCTAGAAAATATATAGCAATCTTTGCTAATTTGGCTGCGAATGAAAAAATATGACAAATGAAATAATTTTTCTTTAATTGATACTGATTGCTTACCAATATTTCGCGCAAATGCAACGCGTACAATAACTGCGCTGGGTTCGCTGCACAATTTTTCTATCGAGGGCAAAATGTACTCGGGAAAGACATTAGCGTCACTTAACGGTATTTGCTTGACCATGCTAAGACACGAAGTTAGCGTTTCAATTGCTTGAACTTGTACTTTTGATGTCGAATATTGCGCCAAATGAAGCTAGAGGTCGTTAAAATTGTATTACTTATATAATCTAATAATGCTATTACTCATAAAGCGCAAATTCATACTTACAATATAAGGTAATATGCGGTCTAAAATCGTTTCTGAAGTGGTATACTTGCATAATCTATGTAGAATCTCTAGTGAACAAATTTTTGTGTTTGATTGTTTTAGGCCGCGTATGCACGAAGTAACAACTGTGATTATCAAAATCAAGCCATCCTGTTCGGCCGGCAAGCGTTGGCAGTTGTCCATCTTTTTAGTAGTATAGATAGCACCGGTTTTTTCATCAACATCCGGTGTTATGTTCGGATCATTGGTTAATACTTTAATGCAATGCCCAATATCAGAATGTAAACGTAAGATTTTATCATCTGGCGACATTATTGGCGAAGAGGAGAACATTTGCAAATATGATTGCAGAAATGAGTAAAAGTATTCCGGGAATAGACGTCCACGTTCTTCGTCTAAATAGTCTTCAGCACTTTTTCTGTACATTGAATTCAAGTTTATCATGGAACCGAGTAGTGCACGTAGGTGTTCGTTTTCAATGCTCTCTAAATGCTTGTAAACCAGTTCATTCTCACCGCTACGATATGAAAGTAGCTGCGAGAGTTCAAACGGTGCTGTCCCCTCAGTCCACAGCTCCAATAATGCGCAACTAAAATTAATTTCAAAATATGAAATTAATTTAAAATTTTCAGTTTAAAACATACCCTGCGGAAAATATATCCATCGAGGGTACCAGCGTATTATCTGAAATATATGGCCCTAGGCGCACAAGTGAGTCAGTGGGTAACATAGCTCCATAGCCTTCAGCATCGTCAGAGGAGAATGTCTTGACGAAACGTTCAGGTGCTATGTAGCAAGTGCGGCGCCTGCTGGTGTCAAAGAAGTATGTGTAATCGGCGGGATTATCTTCGGGGAGGTACGTTGGTTTGAAGGATGCGAAATCGGAGAGTAAAACCCAGTTCCAGGAAGTTATCAATATATTCTCCAACTAGTGTTATCAAGAATTATGTATTAGCATATATATATACGCCTATAAATTAAGCGCATGTTTACCAACCTTTATGTCACCGTGACAGATCTTTTGTTTGTGACATTGGTTCAATGCACAAAGTATTTGAAAAGTTATCCATTTCTTTTCAAGCGTTGTGAGGAAGGGTCGTGTGGAGACACGGTCGTACAAGCTGTGCTTCACATATTCACGCGTTATGTATGCGGCTTTATCAGTTAACTAATTAAAACAAATATAATGTTAAATACGTCCAATAAATCATACCAATTATTTGTCAATGGTAGATTGATACATACCTCTACTCTCTGAAACGGTAAGCAATTAACAGCATTTGCCAAGGACTTTTTTATGTACTCAAGACGTTCTTTGTGATACTCTAAAGGTAGTGTAGGATCATGTCTCACAAACACTTTCACCACCACTAAACCTTCCTCTGATTTTGCTTTGGCCACTTTGAAGAAACGGGTACTGCCCATGCTGAACACAAATTGATTGAAAATAATACTTGCATGTTTAAAGACCTTGTGTTGTAAAAATCCATTTGCATTAACACTTACTTTGATTCGAAAACAATTTCAGTACCAGAAAAATAATGATCCATTGGGTATATTTGGGACGGGGCTATACCCACCAGCTGGTTACCCATTTTGATGTGATTAACTTCAAAACAGTTGTGACTTAACTTACTTCACTTTTTCAATGATTTTATTAAAAGTACCTTCTTTAATAAAGATGAAAATCAACAATAATTCCGTGAAAAAATATTAAAAAGCAGCTGTGCAAAAAATGTTTACTTGCTTAATATTTATGAGAATCAGCTGTTAATACAAGCGAACAGAAAAATGTAATAGATACTCAGCAACATAAAAATGATGGAATCGAACATTAAGGGAGCCATATCGCTTCATGGCATATCTAAAAGGAGATCGTTTCCTAAAATTGTTCTTTATTATAAAATATTATATTGTATAAAAGTACGTATACCTTGACATGTACTTTTCAAATTGTGACTTTTTTGTCAAAACCAAGCTCTGTTATGTCAACAGAAAGTAAAAAACAGTACGGAAAAGTGCCAATAATATATACTAGCAAGATAATGTTGAATTTATTACATTAGCTTCAGATACCATATATAATCCCGTTTAGTTATACAGAAAACTTAGAAGAGCGAGAAGGTGCAGGCCATTGTATAAACCTACTTAGTGCACAAACAGTCACCAACATTCCTCCCTTCCGCACTTACCGAGTGTATCAAACCAAATTTGTCAAAAGTTATGCCCGTCGTTGCAACGCAATAATCAGTTGTTTTTTTGTTTTCGTTTCACCAATGTTGCCATTGTTCTATTTGTGTACACGATTTTTCACACATTTAGGTTTTTAGCTATAATTTTTCATAATGTAAAAGCTCAGAACTAAAATCGAACTATTACCTATTTATAAATAAGGGTATTAGTATGTATGTATGTATATAATGTATGTATGTTTGTCGATAAAGTCGTCATTTGGTTTTTTTCAACAACACAATGTCCGCGCGAACTCGCCGTTACTTCCATGGCATGCTACTATGCACAGTTTTAATTATAAATTAAATTATAAATAATTAAATGTTTTTAAAATAAATTCCATTAATAAAAAAATATCTGAAAAATATCTGACCCGCCTTCAACTTGCTTCGCGCAAAAAGCAAAAAGTTTAGCAAAAAATTTCATTATTTTTGCGGGGCAAGAAAAACAACCATCAGCGTACGTGTATTTAAGAATGTTTGTGAGATTATCACATTTGTGTAAATACGTATAAATAAGGGAATATTCAATAATCCTAAACATATGAACATGTTTTCCAGAAATATTTTAATTATCTCAGGAAGTAAAATATGCTATTAAAGTAATTAAATTGAGATATGTTAAAATTCCAATTAATAAAATAAAAAAGTTAATTAAAGTTTAAGTTTCGTGCGTCTTAGGATTCGAACGTATATGTTTGTATTCGGATTGAGTCGAACGCTTACGACCTAAGCCACCACAAAAGTGGAAAAATGGCCACTTAGCCACCGTTTCATTGTTATCCTTTGCTCACGCAACGCACATACATAAGTTGGAAAAATAACCTATTAAATGTTTATTTTATTATAAACTCTGGGTTTTTTACCAGTAATACAGCTTTTTAATTCAGAAGGCTTTTCATAATTATAAATTTTGTCATATCATAGAAATTGAAAACACAAATCTAAATAGGTATTCGCACCGATTTTTCATTATAACGAATACGATAACGAATGTTGTTAAATAAATTATGCGCATGCTGATTTCCATTTGCATATTACTAAATATCATAATTTTATAATTTAAAATAATCCTTCAAATTATATAAGAGGATTATTGTTTAAAGCCGCAGAATTAACAACAAAATAAGTAATTAATAGATAAATTTTTCTACACATTTTTGTGCGTTGCATGAACAATATCTAATAGGCAAAGGATAACAATAAAATAATGGCTAAGCGGCCGCGGTTTCACTTTTGCGGTGGCTCAGGTTGTAAGCGTGAAGGAGTTAAGCCATTCCGAATACAAACGCTGACGATCGAATCCTGAAACTCTTAGATCCTAATTTTTATTTTTATTTTATTTTATTATTTGACATTTTAGCTGATCGAATTCAGTAACTTAAATAGCAAATTTTACTCACTGAAATAATTAGAATATTTCAGCAATATGTTTGGATTTATTGCATATTCCCTTATTTATGCGTATTTAGACAAATGTGAAAAACACACATTCATTCTTACATATATACACGTACGCTGATGCTTTCTTCTTCTTGCCCCGCACAAACAATGACTTTTGTCTACACTTTTTGCTTTTTGCGAGAACAGCTAGAACGAAGCAAGTTAAACGATCGCAGGCAAAAAGAGATCAGGGGTGCACTGCCACATAATTATTTCAGATATATTTTTATTAATCGAGTTTATTTTAAAAGCATTGAAATAAGTATGAATTCATGTGTATTCATATTTTGACTCTAATATTATACTATTACGCAAATAAGCCGTAAGATATCAGTATTTCTCATTACAAATTAATCAATATAATAATGATAAAATCCTCCGTTGAAACGCCTCTGACCGTGATCGCACGCCATGAAAGTAATGGCGAGTTCGCGCGGAGACGGGGCGGAGCAAAAAATTGAGTTCTGACAAAACCTTAAAAAAAACCAAATGACAACTATGCCGACAAACATATGTACATACGAGCTCGCATACATATTGACACCAAATTTTGGGCATCGTGGCGGAGTTGAAAAAATTTGTTTGAATCGACAATTTTACGACAATGTCGGTCGGCTATGTTGTCGCGTTTGTCCCTTTTGAAGTGATTTGCTATTGAAAGAGACTTATGCTCTTTTGAAATACTACGACTACCAATTGGGCTGCATTTCCATAGGGTCGTTTTTAGGTAAAATGGGCTAAGTCGACAAACTATGAAATAATGATAATAAGTAAACATATTGTCTATTTTCCAACCCTTTGGAAGTATTACACTCACCACTCACACTTCAATATCGTTTCGCAATAATTGAATACACTTGAATATTTTTCGCAGTAATCGAGTAAACTGAATTTTAATATATCTAACACCCACTTGATACAATGTCACTTGCGACGCAGCGCATTAAAAAAAGAAAAAATGGAAAAATGGATTGATTGTCCGGTTCAGGTTCGATACTTCTACGGGAATCAGCACGGTGACGAGATGTCCACTTCGAATTTTGATACGCAAAAGAGGCCAGCCGCTACCCGTGTTTTGGTTTTGTTGATGGTTGGTGGGGTGATCGCCTGGGTGGTAGTGTCGTTGTGTGAGGTGTATGGTGAATGTTGCGAGAGGTGATGTGGTGAATGTTGCTGATGTGTGATGTAGATTGTGTTAGTTGATGTGTAGATTGTGTTAGGAGTGTTGGCGTGTATGTTTTCGGGACGACGTAGGCTCATTTAGCCACATATAAAAGTACTATATGCAGTATGCTTAGAATATATAGTAGTTAAAGATTTCATATGAATGAACTTTTTTCCTTAACACACATGCCAAAGAACATCTGCGCATACACATATAATATTAGCCGTTGCTTTATAAGGTGGTGAACATTTACTTGGTTCCTGCTTAGAGTGGTGTAGTTTGTTGAATTCGATTATCATGAGGTTTAGGTACTTTTTTGACGTGGTGTAATTGAACTTTTGAATTTGCGCATTTTCGATGTATCCTTTTAATAGTTAACATTTTAGCACAGCTAACATTTGCGCCTTCTCTATTTATTAACTTTCTCTGCTTCTACCATTATGTAGGATTAAATATACGAATCTAAAGCATGTACTCATTTGTGCTCCCTACTGTATGTATGTATGTACATATAGAACAGTGCGCGCACATGTATTTATTGATAATATGAAAAATTTTATTCCTCAATGTGTACATACCAGAGTATGCAAATGAACTCCATATTGATGTACATAAGTATGCACATACATTAATTATTAATTTTGTAACAATTGAAATTATAAAATTATTAAAAAAGTAATATACATATATATTTTTTTTTTGCATAATCTTTCGCATTTTATCATGCCATATGTCCATTTATATTCTCTTGTTTGAAGTCGTTCTGCCAATTTGAATTGTTCAAGCGTCACTTACTTTAGGAAAAACATATATTTTTTTGGTTAATTGCATTTATTTTGAGATTAATAATTTATTTAATGTTCTTTGATAATCTATACATTATTCTGTTTCTTTGTTCTGTTTTGCTTGCATACACACTAATACAAGTTAATTATGTATGTTTTTTTTGTGTCTCAATTGCTTTATTGTAACTATTTTGTTTTATTTGTTTTTGCCTGCTTTGATTTAGTAATGACACATTAAATTTTTTTGCCATAATTGTTACTGAGTTTACTGTAGTTATTTTTTCGTATAGATGAACATCTAAAAAGCTAAACTAAAAAAATAACAACAAATTTATTATAAACTAGTAATGTACATATATACTTAATATTTGATTGTTTTTATAAATACAATATATATGCATAATTGAATTTTCGGAAAATTAAATTTTTAGTAGATTCTTTCTAAAAACAACAAAAATTAATACACAAATGTATACAGTGGAATAATTGTTGACTTTTTGTAAATTACATAGTCGATTTATTTATTTGCGTTCTATTTTTGGAGATATATGCATTTTAAAGAAAATTAGATCAAATATTGATATTATTAATAAATAAAATAAATAAATAATAAAAACAAATAAAAGTATGCACAAAACATTTGCGATTCGAGAATAATTATATTACATGATGTTTACGAAAAAATGGTAAAACATTTGAATAGCTTTTTCAATAAACAAGCATATTTTTTGTTTAAAAAATTTAATTAAAGTTGTGCACATAAATGTAAAAAAAAAATTTATACTTTGCTTAAGTTATTCTTTATACCAGTATTTTTCTAACGATTTTAATTAAAATTTTTATTTTTACTTTAAAAATTATATCTTAGCATTTATATCTCACGAATGTTTGTAAATAGGCGTATAAAACCCCAAATATTTGTTAATTGTGTACTATAGATTTTGATTAATCTTTGATTTTGATTATTAGCGTCTTAAATACATTTATTTTTAAATTTGTATTTTTCGCTTCAATTTTTATAATTTTATTATTCTTTTTTGTTTAAATTATTTATTGTTACTGCATACCTTAAGTTTTTTTATCTACAACTATGTTTTTACTGGTCTAAGCTTCTTCAATGGCTTAGTGCTAAATATTTTATCTTATTTTTTGTAAAACTAAATAAAAAAAATTGCAACAAAAACAATGTATTTAGAAACAAACAAGATCTGCATAAAATAAAATGTTAACTTTTTTAAACAAGACTTATCTAAACAATTCAGCATAGTTGTTACTCACTTTTTCATAGCTTTTTTACGTATTTCTGTGTGTATCATAATTATTTATTTAAAATGTATGACTAATTTCCTGTAACAAAACGGTTTTCATACATAAATAAATATATATTTCTGTAGCTACATATGTATGGTGCTTATTTATATTAAAATAATAATTTATTTCCTCATTTGTTTATTGTCATTAGCATTAACTGAAATTCTATTGTAGCATTATTGAAAAATTATTTTCTTTCCTTTTTTAATATTTATAGAAAGCAAAAAAAAAGTGTTGCCAGATTTTATTTTTGTTTTTTTCCAATATGCTTCAAGCATTAGCACGTTTTTAACGCCTAAATAGAAAACGTCAGGGAAAAAGGTTTCTGTTTTTAATAATATATTACAAGTAATTTTTACCTTTAATCTTACATTTTACATGCTTACACAGTAAAGTCAATAACTAACGAACAAAGTACTTCACATACCTCTGCTTTCAATTTGTACAATTAAAATTCATAAAATACTATTACAAATTGATTTTATTGTTTAAATATGCTTAAATATTTGTGTTTTTTATGTTCTCAAAGAAACATACTTATTTACGGTTGCTCCTAAACTATATACAACTATAAGAAATTTTAACGAAATTTGTTGCAACAACTAAATCTTTACAAATTCACAAAAGCGTATTTTCATAATATTCATATTATCTCTTATCATAAAAGTATTATAATATGATATTTCAATATATTGAAGTATTTCGAAGCTGTTGTTACAATGGAAAAATTCAAATTCAGAACTTTAAACATTTCACTTGTTTATTTATTTACGTTTGGATGTATGCATATAAAACTGTTTGAATAATTCTGCATATACCATATATATAAATATATATGTATGGATATATAAATGCATTACCATACATAAATAATTTTATACGCATTAACACATACATATACTCAAATACCATACATATTGAATTTTTATAAAATACATATATATATGTATGTAAATATGTTTATCATATTTTATTTCATGTTATTTATGATTATTTGTATACACATTTATGCGTAAACGCTACATATGACATGCGTTGCTCAATTCCGTTACTACCTCATCATACATCGCTAGTCAGCTGCCGCTCTCGCCGCACCTTCGTCCACACGCTATGCAAACGCTTTCGGAGGCAGCTCCTTAACTGACGTCGCTGGGCATCTTGCTTAACTCAACGTGTCTCTCCACCATTTATCACTCATTGCTCCGCATCTTTAACGGCGCCCATCAGCTATTTGTTGTGTATGACAAGCGTGTAGGTTTGCATGGACCACGAGACTTGTGCGCACGACTCCCCGTGTCATTTGCCCAGCGCCGAAAGCTGTTGTGTGGTGGCTTGTTGTGCCGACTGCGTCTGTGCGTGGTTGAGCGCCACTGTAGTACCGGTTGTGGTCTTGTTTGGTGAACCGCTGGCTGGTGCCGGTGCCGGGGCTATGCGTATTGGTTTGCTGCGTGGCGCTGTAGCTGTTGTTGGTGGTGCGCTGAAGCTGTTCTGCGTGCTGGTGGTGGTGGATATAGCGTGTGTGGGTCCACCAGATGTTGGCACAGTTGCATAACCACCGCAGGCGGTGGCGGCAGTGCTGCCAGTAGTATTGTTACAGTTGTTGTTGTGTAGACGCTGCATGGTGTTGCTGTGGCGCTTATTGCGATTTGGACTGTTCGAATTATTGTTGAGCGTTGTGCTTGTGGTCGATGAGGCTGTTGCCTGCTGCAATTGCTTACTGGTGACTGTTGCGTTCACAAATGTTGTTGTTGTCGAAGTAGCTGAAATACGATCCAATTCAGTCATTGCCTCTTGAATGGCACGCTCGAGTTGTGAATTCAATTTTCGGCTCCTTTTTGTATATGAATTTGTTTTTGGTTTAATTTTTGTAATTTTGTGGCGAGCCAATTGGGGAAATGTGTGGAATGTGTTGTTTTGATTTGTATTTGGGATATTTGGTGGTGGGATTATTTGTTGTTGTAGACAATTGATGGCAATTTATTGATTTTGTTGGTGGTGTGGAGTTGGATACATTCAACATGTACACACACATAGACAAATATTCACATGACATGTAATCAGCGGGTTGGAAGGAGTAGAAAAATCAATAAAAAAAAAATCAATTATTAAAACAATAAACAGTTATTTTGCACATTTTTAAACATAAGAATAGAATAAAAAGATATTTAGCTATGCAAAGTCCGCATTTGAAAAATTATGCTTTTGAGTTTAGTGTTTGCATATTTGCAAACAAAATAGGAAATAGTTCACAATTTAACTAATAAGTGCATTTAATTTCGTAGAAATTAAAAATAACTACAAAAGTTATTGGTAAAAAATATAATAGTAAGCAAATATATATAATATTTCTACATAAAGTTGCAATCGAAAAATTTAATAATAATTATATTAAAGTAAATAAATAAATAAATAAAAAATTCGAAATAATAATTAATACCGTTTGAATCTATATATTTTGCAGCATTCCGGATATAATATTCTAACTTATATACTTTACGTATTCAACAACATCAAGTGCAATTAAAAATAATTTACTAAAAAATACTTATACAGTTATAATAAGCTTCAAAACATATTTCTTTAACCGAAATTGTTGAAAATATCGCTGATCGCGCAAAAAATACAAATAGACTAAATTTTTGTAGGCTTTTGGGCTTCTTGGTTTTTGAGCCTTTTCGTATATTGAAGGGTATATACGAAAAGCTCAAAAACCTAAGCAAAGCGAACAATATTAAAAAAATCAAGAAACAACTTTATCTTCGGTTGCCCTTCACAAATACAAAACATTTTATACAAGAACTTGGTTTTCATCGTTCGGCTTGTATGGCAGCTATACGCTATAGTGCTCCGATATGGACGGTTCCGGCAAATGAGCAACTTCTTGGGGAAAAAAGGGCGTTTGCAAAATTTTCGATCGATACCTCGAAACTGAGGGTCTAGTTCTGGTATATACAGACAGTCGGACCGACATTTGTATATGTAAGTATATACTTTAGAGGGCTCTTTCTGGGTGTTACAAACATCGTGGAAAACTTATGTATACCCTACTCAAGGTATAAAAATAGTTGAAGAGAGAACATGCTTAGTTTTGTTATCCTACGTATAGGGCAAACGATAAGTTAGAATAATAAAATAAAATTACTTTAGGAACCCGAAACTTTCGTTGTCGAAAGAGGTGTATTCTAAATTTTTTCATGTCGTCGATTTATGTGTTTTTTCACGATACATACAGTACATTACAGATGGTATCTGAAGATTGAGTAAAAAGAAAAAAGCGCCAGCGTTTGTTCTGTCGCGAAAACATAAAAAACTCGACAATCTTCTGGTTCTTTTTGGTTAAGGGTCGGTTACGCCAGCCTAGGATTTTCAACACATACGACATTTTTTTCGCCTAAGGTAACTTAAGGGTTCTAAAAATTATTCAACTGAGAGAATAGTAAAAAACTCCGTTTAAAATAAGTCAGCTAGAGTACGTAAAATTTGAAAAGCGATTGTTTCTCATTTTTGAAATCGGGCGAAGATATTACTTCACATTAACATTGTCTACTTTTTCTTGTTGTTAATGCAACTTTTTTTGCACAACAATTTACTGCTAATATTTTCGGTCAAATATTTAACTTTTTTTTACAAATCCGTCATCTTGCGGAAAATTAATGTAAGGCTAAAAAACTTAAATAAAGAAGTAGTAAGATTAGTAGATTACGATCCCGAAATTTTATTTATGAAGCTTTTTTTTTCTTAATTGTGATAAATGGGCAATAACATTTCTTTATAAAATCCAAAAAAGTTAAATTTGAAAACTTTCCTCGAATGACAAATGAAAGAGCTCTAAAATTGTTTACATTTTACAACAAAATTTACAAAACAATTTCAACATGTGAGAATATAACTTGCTTTTTTTACCTATATAGTTTCCACTAGATAATTTAAGTGGTTTTTTCATGGATGGCGTGATTACAAGTAGCAACACATTCTCAAAAAGTTAGAGGTAAAAAATCAGTGAACTCGATTATAAGTAGGGCTAAGGTGCGAATAAAAAGCTCTTATATCTCAAATATATCATATTTCTGCATAGTCATGTAGTCAGTTTCGAAACCGTGTTATACGGTGAATATCAATATGTAAAAAAAAAGCAAGGACTTTATTTTCAAAATCAAGTTCCCACTTAAGATTATATTTAACCTAGTTAATTAGTAGACTGTTAAAATCTTGAATATCAATTTTCGTTTAGAGTAGCACATGTAGTAAACTTCGTATCCTAAGTACTTTACTAAACCTTTACAAACTAACTTAAGTGCTCACTTTCTGGTATCCTTTTGCGCTTTATGATGCGCCTCCAGACCATCAGAGAGACTGTGTAACGAAGTTATCGCTATTAGTTCGGTTATGATACGACCACCACCACTGAACCACTGCACCCAAACTGCTAGCTCACCATTAGCGGTTTGTGATTGCTCATCGGTTTCCACATTCACCACTTTACCTGGCCAGGCGGGATAACCGCGCGATGGACCCCAAATCAATTCACCAATTGCAAATGTTTGTGTCGCTGTGGTTGTTGTTGCCACTGCCGTTGCTGTGACGCGTGTTGTTGCTGGCACTACGGTGGTGTCAGCAGTCAATTCTGTGATATTGGTGGCGGTGTTGCGAGTGGCGCGGGTGGCACGAGCCCGTAACAGTTTGTTTGGCGATTTTTGTTGCGATTTACGGTTTCTTGGGTTGTTGGTTGTAAGTGTGGCTAGTGTTGGTGGTGGTGTGGTTATTGTTTTGGTTGTAGTTGTTGGCGAATTTCTTGGCGACTCTACGAATTGATGAGGTTATTTAAAACAAATTGTTGTCTGCGCAAATGTGGGCTTGATTATCGATAATATTTATTTTTCGATGGTTTTTAAATGGGTGAGTTAAATGCGAAGAGTTTTGTTATCTTATGAAATTGAAGGACATCATGTGGTGGTATATTAATTTGAGTTAATCGACAGACAGATGAGGAATGAAATTAAGTTGCGTGAAACAAGGAATTTCACTCCGTATAAAAGCCATCACCAATAGTCTCTTGTTTAGCTAGACATATTGAATTTATATACATTTGGTATTGTACAAGTAATATGTGTAGTAATGCCATTAGCCATGGTATTAATCCCAAGTATGAGTAGATTCAGTGTTTAAGTGGTTGAAGTGTACACGAAATGTTAGAAAAATTATAGTCTTTTTGCAAATAGTCACGAAGTATTCTTATGTATGTATGTACCTACATCGGTATATTTTCGCCTTCTCTTCCGCCTAAAGATATGTATATTGACAGTTATATCACTAAATGTACGGTGTTATTTACATAATATACGTATATCGCTTATACTTTTCTCTAATGAGATCAAATATCTCCAAACAATCCTCAACTCGTAACTTTAAAAGAGAGATTTCATCATAGCTGTTAATCGAATGAAGCAAAAGCCGGAAACTTTTAAAGTTAATATAAATCTGTAATGATTGTAAACGAGTACTTAAACTATGTGGCAATCGAAGGGTTAAACAGAGGTCTAAGACGCACACTTCAAATGCTCAGCTAGCCTCGCAAAGGTTATATAAGTTCAGTTAAAAAAAAATTAATGTTCTATTCGAGGATCTAATACATTTTTCTTTTCTCTGTAAAAAACAATTAGTTATCAGAAAACCCGAAAAAAATTGGAGCTATTAGTAGTGTTGTTGAGAATACAAATAATCGGCCCTATTCCCGTTGTCGTTTCCAAGATGTTTCTGTTGTCACCGTCGCTTCGTTTCTATGTTCGTATTATTGAGGTATATCCCAAAGCCAAAGAAAAGTTATAGAAATTTTAAATTAAAATGAAGAAAGTATGATAACGACCAATAGTGTCATTACATCTGACGTTGTTAATTGGCGTTTTGAAGAAAATATGGTATTTGAACCTTTTTGTAATTTTAAGTACATAATAAATAAGTATTTTTTTGCATTAAGTCGTTTCGAAATATTCAACGGTTTAATCCCCTTTCTAAAGTCTTTGGCATACGCAGGATTTTTCTCAGTAATTATTTGTATTCATGTTTTCATTTCACTTCAAATAATCGCGCTCGTTTCTATCTCTCTCTCAATTACTACAACGACAAAGGACGGCTCTTTCTATGTCGTTATCATAGTCGTTTCAAAATAGCGAATATCAATTTATTTTCGATTTTCCAACAGGAATGCCACATAGCTGTTTTTATTTTGTTTTAAAACTAAAACAACAACGGCAATAGGGCTGAATATATAAAGATGTGCTAGTTGTAGTCCTAGAAGAAGGATGATTCCACAATCTTCGCCATCTACCGCAGAGTTAGTCTTCTTAATAATGGATTCGAATTTTTTGAGTGTAAATAGAGTTCGTCGACACTATCCGAACTGCTACAAAACTACAATAGGTTTTGAAATAATTGTTTATACAGGGTGGCCCACGAATCGTACCGAAAAGAGGGTTTGTATAGTGCAGCGGTACCATGCTTTGCAGTCCGTCATTTCCGTCCCATTCCGGAATTCAGACGTAATTTTGGCGGCACACCCCCGAGTAGATGGACCATTATGAGAATGGTAAACATGTTTGCTGAATCTGGAAGTATTGCAAGAATACGGTACCATCGAGATCCGTATGTTCGTGTTCAAGAAACAATCGCGTCTGTTGAATCGTCAATTCAGGCAAATCCAAGAGTTTTGACTAGCAACTTAACGGCGCAACTTGTAGTTAGCAGACGGTCATTAAAACGGATAATCATGAATTAAATCTGTTTCCGTACAAAGTTCAAATAACAAGCCGGTTGAACCCTCCAGGTTTGCCTATTCGTCTGAAATTTTGCCAAAAAACGACTGAAATGGCCGAAGAAGACAATAACTTTATTAATTGCCTGTTTATGTCTGATGGGGCCCATTATGATCTAAACGGAAATGTCAACAAGCATAATTGCCGTATATGGAGTGAATCAAATCCCGAAATAAACCACGAGACGGAACTGCACTCCGAACGAGTCACTGTGTGGAGCGCAGTTTCAGCAAGGTGTATTGTCGGGCCATACTTCTTTGAAGAATACGGTGTAACAGTAACTGACAACGGATACCGTTCTTTAAAGACGTTTAATGAGCCTTTCTACCCAGAACTGCTCTGAAGATTCCTTTCAATAACGTTTGGTTCCAGTAAGATGGAGAACCTGCACACATAGCCAGACCAGTTATTGCGGAGCTTCATCGAAAATTTGAAAACAAATTAATATCACGAAATTCCACTTTCCGCTGGCACACAAGGTCACCTGACCTGACTGCACCAGACTTTTTTAATGGGGTTATGTTAAGCAAGAGGTGTACAAAATAAAATCCAGAAATCTGACGGAATGGAATCAGTCCATTAAATCATTAATTGAGGCAATCCCAACTTCAACCCTTCAGGCCGCAATGAATAATTTTGTCGCATATGCGTGTCATTTACGGTCCATAATTTTAAAAATAATTAATATATATTGTAGAATAAAATAAAATTTGCTATACAATAAAAAGAAAATAAATGTAATGCATGGATTAAAACAAAATTATTACGGTTTGTTTTTGTAGCACGATTTGTGAGCCACCCTGTAGCTGAGAGAGTATAAAATCATTTTGTTAATTTATCAAAATATACTCGTATAGTGCAACAATGAGTTCTGCGTACATATTGATGTCCTAAGAAAGTCCAGCGTAGTAAAACCCATCATATAATGATGGCTGCTTAATTTCTAAGAATACATTCAGAATCCTCAGAATTAAAGGTATTAAATGCCATGCCGCTACTGCTTCTTTCTAATTCTCTATTATGAACCATTAGTTATTTCTTACTACATCTTTTTTTGCAGCTAATATGGAGTTAATTCCGCAGAAACATAAGATGAGTAGGCAAAACGTAATTCAAAAGGCAAATTATTGACTTCCAGAAAGGTTCTATTTATTGTAATATAAAAATATATTATTTAAAAATACATAGTGCTGAAATTTACAATTCCTCATTGATGTTGGAGTTCGAAGAGGAGCAATAACAGTGGAATAATTGAGGATGAAAGATTGCTGTTGCAGTACAATAAAATAAATGCATAACTGCTTCACAGGAGAATATAACTTATGTATATACAAATACATATATACATATATGTATGAATGTACATATGTAACTACAACCAATTCTTTGTACAGTATTTATGATTCGCAAGCAAATTCAGTTTATGTGCTGATTATTTCGTTTACGCAACCTCGTTTTCAATGCCTCAAATGATGATCGACTTATTTTTTTTTGGAAACACATTTTTGTTTCTACCTATGTACAGGTTGGTTGTGAAGTTTCTGCTTGTATTTTGGGCTGGTGAATTTAAACGTGGTCGTACTAGGCTTGAAGACGATCCACGCAAACGACGGACAAAAACCTCCAGAACTCATTGAGCAAGTTCATAATATTGTTAGTGAAGACCGAAGTTTGTCAAAGCTTGAAATTGCTAATGCCATAGGCATCTCAGAAGTTAGTGCCGCACATATTAGGTTGGCCGTTATTTCCCTTCCGTTTTTTGTCTTTTGAATTTCGCGGCTATGTACAAAGCGCTACAGATCTCGTATCTGGCAACACTATACATAATTTGAAAGGTCTTGACATAACCTACAAAACAACGCTATGCATGATTAGTTTGGATATTGCGTTCAACAGTTATAGACGTGTAAACATGGAGTTCACTAACGCCGAAATTCGCGCTATTTTAAAGTTTTCCTTCGTTAAAGGCAAATCCGCTAGAGAAACGTTCCGTGAGATTAATGGTTTTTTTGGGGGATGGTACTCTATCACTTCGAACCGCGGAAGAATGGTTTCGACGATTCAGAGCCGGTGAAAACGACACCATGGATAAGCCAGCCGGCGGAAGACCTGTGACGACAAATACCGATCAAATCATGGAATACATCGAGTTAGACCGGCATATGGCATCTCGTGACATCGCCCAGGAGATGGGAGTTAGTCACCAAACCATTTTGAACCATCTACAGAAGGCTGAGTTCTACATCTTTTACGTGGAGTATTTAATATGAAAACGTTGTTTGGAAAGTTAGTGCCGCACATATTAACAGTTCAACAAAAACTGGATCGAAAACAAATTTCTCAGCATAATTTTAAGCGTTTCAAGCAGAATAAAACCGATTTCTTGCGTCGTTTTATAACTATGGATGAGACTTGGATCTACTATCATGTACTTAAATCGAAACAAGGACGTTTACAGTGGACTGAAGCTGGTTGTTCAGCTCCAAAGCAGGTGAAGTCACAACGATTAGCAAAGTTATGGCATCAAAGAAATTTTGTTGATTGATTACCTGCAGAAAGGTAAAACAATCAACTCTGAATATTATTGCAGCCTTTTGGATCAGCTGGATGAAAATAAAGTCGTGATCGTGATAAAAGATCACTTTTCATCAAGACAATGCACCTGTGCACAAAGGTGTTTTAACATTGACAAAATTCAACGAATTAAAGTGCGAATTGCTAGTAATACTAGTCCATACTAATATTATAAATGTGAATGTAAGTATGTTTGTTACGCCGAATCCACTTAACCGATCAGTATGAAACTTTAAACACATATACTAATGGTATTAGAAAGGACATAGGATAAGTATTATTAAAAAATATATAAATTTTTTACGGATTGTGCAAAAAATTATTTCGGAAGATCATATCTGTTTGTAAAATAAGTTTGAAAATTAAAAAAAATTATTTTGGCATATGTAGGGTTGTTTGTCGAAAAATGTAAGAAAACAAAAATGCATCAAAAGCGCAATTCAGAGGAATACCACCATCACCACCATAATGATATACAGTATGTATTTTGTTTTTGTTTTGTTAGTAATCTTTGATATTTATTTAAGGTATTCAATGCGAGCGGAAAGAGAACCATTAAAGCTAGAAATCAGATACGACAGCTTCGTTGCGTCACTTTTGATTGGCCTAGGCCTAGGTGTATCGAAAAACATCCACTCTAAAACCGTCATGAACGAAGGAACGAGGTAAGCTTTGTTTACAACTACTATTAATGAGGCCAGAGAGTAGTTATTGAAAAGATAAGCATAAATTTCGCTGAGAAAGTAACTGTTTGCTGATGGAAAAAATTTTAGTATTTGATATTCATCATCAGGGAAGCCGACCTGCGGCAAAAAAAAACTTTGTTTAATATCTATATTTGCAATCCCTTTTAGAGAAAGCAATAGCTTTTATTCTCTTGTTTCTCAGCCAACAATTATAACTAGAATGATGAATGCAGTTTTGAATTATTTTCTATGTTGATGTCTATGTATATTATACTATACGACTATAATAATAAATTACGAAGTACACTTAAGATTAAATGTGACTCGGACTAGTCCATATAAGCTGCGCGAACAAATTTGCAAACTGTGCAACTAGGACGCTATTGCTGCTGAGGCAGAGTATCGAAGAAGACGTGTATGAGTCTATCCGCCATCGCGCGCAACAATTGTAGCTGTTTTGCAGAAGGATCTTGGTTTGCGGGCTTAAAATATCCAACTCGTGCAAGAATTGAAGCCGAACGCCCACTAAGCGCGTCGCACGTTCGGTGAATGGGCCCAAACAGATTGTCACCGATCCCGATTTTAACAAAAAAAAGTTTGTTAAGCGATGAAGCTTTGTTGAATAAATAAAATTGTCGCATCTAGAGTAATGATAATCCACATCAAAAATGTTAGAGTCAATGGGAAATTCTATAGAGACATGATTAAGGACTTTTTCGTGCCTGAATTGGAGGATGTTAATGTGGACGGCATTTGGTTTCAACAAGACAGCACTGCGATCCATATAGACAACAAAACAATCAATTTATTGAAGGCAACTCCGCATTACCTCGCGTTGTGGGTTTGTCGCGGTCACCAAGATCGAGCGGTTTAACGCCGCTGACTATTTTTAGAGGGTTATGTAAAGCCACTTGTCTACGTAGATAGGCCCGAGAAGATTGACGATTTGGAAGGGAATATTCGGTGCGTTATTGCTGACATACGGCCCCAATTGCTGCAAAAAGTGGTCGAACACCAGAGCCAGCCGCAGCGGTCACTTGCCCGAAATAATTTTTAAAACAAAGTGGTAAGCCCTTATCTTTATAGTAAAGTTACATTTTTGGCGATAATTTTATATGTATGTACCTATGTATATCTGACCGGCAACTTTAAGTTTTAGAGGTTTGGTGATTATTGTCCAATATTGTAAGACAAAATTACATAATCACCCACCAAAATCTCATATCTTCTATTTGTTTACCAAAACTAGTTTCATTTTGATATATTTTAAGAAGTCGGCCTAGAAAATGTTTGCGAAATTATTTCGTAATAAAAGCTTAGATTACACCTGTACTATTAGTAATATATGAGCACAGAAAGGTTTATATTGACATGCATTAGTTATTTAAGATTTATTTAATTGTGAGGCGATTTCGCTATAATGCATTAGGCATAACGATGAAATTTATCACATGCGAACAAACATAAACGCAGATAATAAAGCAAAAAAACAAAAATATGCCAATCACCGTTAACAGTAAGGAAACGAATACAAGGAAGATGAGTCAGGATATTTCCAAATATGTACTGATATACTTATAGGTCTAAAAATATGTATTTAAAATATGTGTGTTTTAGAAAGTATTAATGTGTGTATTCATTCATTCATGTAAGATTACTAAATATGGTAACTTATGTATGAAATGTGAGATTTTCGTTATTCGCTTTGTTAGTAGACTTTTAATAGAGCGCAAAAATTCAATTCACAATTACAACAAGGATAACAAGAGTATCAACAACATGTGCATACAAAAATATATCTCATCTGTACGCTGTTAACAGTAAAAATTAACGAATGCATGAACTGTAACTGATGCGACAGCGCTGCGCCATTTGATTAGCGGACTCGGCTTGCGACAGACTACTTACCGTGCGAATCGGGCTTAATTACAAAATCCTGGTGAAGAGAATGATGTTGTTGCATCTGCTGATGTTGCTGTTGACGTTGTTGTTGCTGTAGCTGAAGTGTAGTGGCCAAAGCTGTAGATGTCGGGGCTGAGGTGATGGTAAAGCCAATGCCACCGGCTGCGGTTCCACCGCCGGCATTAATAATACCGCCACTTGCGCCCACATTCTGCGGCGGTGTTTGTACGCGTCGTATCTTCGCTTCTGACGGCTTGTATATGCTTGTGGTTTGATATGCGCTTGACATAACAAGTCCTGATTGAGCATGATGGCAGCACAAACAGTAGCCATAGCGATGAGGCAGGCGGGAAAGAGAGAGGGAATAAATAAAAAAAATGGAAATTTATTTGAAAAGTCAGTTTGTCGGCAAAGAGTGTTGAAGCGAAAGGTAATATTTACTAAAAATCATAAATTGCCGTAAGTAAATAAACACCGTATACATACGTATGTACATACATATATATATCTATGTATTATATATACGAGTATATGTATTGTAGCAGGTATGTGTGTGTACAGACGCAATTGTATCGACAATATGGTATATTGTTATTATCAGCATGAGCAGGCGAAAATTATCGCAAAGCCGTGCGGCAACCAAAAGTGCTGATGTTTCATTCTTGCCTCTAATACGCTTAGCTCTTGCGCCTTTCTTCACTGTCTTCTGTACTTAGCTTTTACGGCACTCAAATGTATTTGAGGTTGATTGCGGCTGGGATAAGCGTATAATAACTGCGTCGCAGTATCCACATACATATATACAGAGAAATTTGAACCCGTTTGAGCATGAACGCGACTTAATGTAGCCAGAGCTTTGGCGCTTCCACCGTTGCGACGATGGTGGTGGTATCTGCTAATAGAGCGTACAATTTACAAGCCTACTTATTTTTAACGATTCTTCGCTTCATGCTTATCTTCCCCCGCTACTGCCACTTTACGTTTTGGCCTTTTAGCCCTCGTTCACCGTTGCTTCCTCCCGCATTTTCTGCCGTCTGCACCTATTCAGAGCGCACTTAGAATAGTAGGATAGTAGGTTGCGTGCGCGTATAAATGTCGATTGGAATTTAATGTTGCGCTTAACGTCTTGATTTCTTCATTGAATGTGAGTAGCATAAAATGTTCCCCACCCCACCTGCGGCAAATCTTTTGTGAACTGTGTATTTCACTGCGCTTCAAAAATATGTTCGATTTTTTGCCGTTTATGTGTTTGTATGAATGTGTTTTTATCAGACAAGCATAAAAATGCCCTAAGGATGTTGTATGATACATATTTTATTGGTTTCTCCTATGCATAGCTACAATACGTTCGTGCTTTTTGCGTGCGTTTTTATTGCTTTCATTGTACTTTCCCGAATTATAGCCTTTTGGTAAATGTGATAGTGTGTGTGCGTCTGTTATGTGTAGTTGCATAGGCGTGCGAGTGGATTGTACGTGGTTAAAAGACGATTTTACGAGTGCATTAGGTCTCCATTTTAAAACATTTTATGCTCGCGCTATTCGAATTTAATACCGTTTTCGCAGTTTTTATGTAAAAGGTGTCGAGGTATTGCAATTATTTTTTCATATTTTCGAAGCAAAAGTGCGAGGTTGCAACGGAATAGATAGAGACACTTTAGATACTCTTATGATAAATAAGGCTATGTAATATATTTTTATGACATCAAATCATATTTTAAAAGATATAAGAGTTGAAAGCTACATATGTGGCGTATATGCCGGTCACATGATTAAAAATTTGTTTGTTGGCTGACTTTCCGGATCTAAAGTTTCTGATTGTTCACACGATGAATGCAGTTTAGCCTCAGTTTAAATGCCTAAAAATTGGAAACAAGACGCTTCGAAAAAAAGAGACTTTTGGTGAAATAGTGACTAATTTCTCAATTTAGCCTCCTTTTAGTTCGATGCACTTGGCATAGCGTCTGAAAAATGGCTTTCAGTTTCCTCCCATTCAAACACTTCTCTGAAGGGATCTCACGGTTGCGGCTGCTGTTCGGCACCTATCGCGCTGATATGATTCATATGGGCGTGGCTCAACAAAAACCGATAGTCGTCATTGAAAGAGAAAATCGCTGTATACAGTATCCAAGCGATTTCTTCGATTTCGCCGTGCGATTCCCTTCCAAAATTAAGATTATAATCACCGAATGATATTGCGCTTTTTTAAAGAAAAATTATGATTCCATTTCGGCGATAGTAAATTTTTCTTGCGATTATGTGGTCATAAGTCGTTGAGGCTAAGTAGTTATCGAACCTAACCAAAAGTATGAGTTATTCTAACGAAGACAACACTTTTTCGGTTCACACTCTAGTTGGAAGTTTATAATTTTTTCACAGACTCTATTGAGCATCAAAGTCAACGTGATATATATAATTTTTGGGCAGATTTGTATGTTAATGTAAATGGTTTCTCAGTTATATATTTTAAATCTCTTTAAATTCGATGCAATAGCATTGTGCAAGCTTGCATTTGCACTCGTACCTTTCTCAGCGTCCGTAGTCGATGGAGACTGCCGACTGTCAGCACTCTGTGGCGAGGCGGAACCATCCGGTTCTGAGCTGGATACACATTGTACCTGCAAACGGAAGGGAATGAGTTTAGTAATCGATTAAATGCAAACAAATAATAATTTTTTTATTCCACCATATCACTGCCACCACTGCGATGACTGGGTGGGCGCTCTGGGCTGCGAGGGCTATGGGTGGTGGTGTCCGGTGGACTAGCTACCACCGAACGCTGACCACTGCGACTTGACGAAGTCAACGATGACGTGGTTGCTGACGAAGACGACGTGGCTGATTCCATAACGATGTGCTCAGAGCTCAGCATGGTTATATGTTGTTGCTGATTTGAGTGATGTTGTTGCTGTTGGTGCATTGCAGCGGTGGCCGGTTGAATAGCTACGTGATGATGGTGTTGTTGCTGCTGTTGTGCTGACACGTGCTGCTGCACTTGCACCTGCGGCTGTGACTGTTGTTGCTGATGCTGTTGTGCTTGTGGATGTTGCTGCACTTGTATGGTCGCATTCTGCTGCATGTACGTGGCTGTACCGGCCTGTTGTTGTGCCGTTGGCATAACCAAACCCATTGGTGTTGAATAAATTTGTCCGATCGGACTCAATTGCCCATTGCTGCCTACAATGAATTGTTGTCCGGTGGCCGTGGGCGAAATGAATTGTTTATTTTGGGGTGAGGGTGTGCGCAACATCATTGTTGTGCCTTGCGGTGTGGTGGTGAGTATGCTCGGCCCGCAAGCGCCCACATTCTGTATTTGCAGCAATGTGGTGTCGGGTGCCATCACCAGACCGGTGGGCACAATTAATTGCTGCCCAATGAGATTCATTGGTTGTATGATTTGACCATTCTGTAAGATAATTTGTTGTGGTTGTGTCGATGTAGCGGTAGCTGACTTATTGACTACAATGCCCTGTATACCAGGGTTAAGTTGAAATTGTTGCTGATACTGTGGCGCAGCGGAAGCGATTTGTACAACTTGCGGTTGTGGCGGAGGTGGTGGTTGCGACTGCTGTACGGCAACGGCTGCAGCGGCAGCGGCTTGTTGCTGTATAATCGCCGTTTGGTTTGGTATAGTTGGTGAAATTTGTGGCGAAAGGCTCGTGATGGGCGTGCTGGTAGGTGAGACACTGCCAGTGGAACTCTTACGTTTCTTCGCACGTCTCTTCACATCCGGCGATGTGATAATAATGCGTTGAGCCTGCGCTTGCTGCTGCGTCTGTGGGCTCTGCTGGGTTTGTTGTACGTAGGCTGTAGTTCCATCGGCTTGTTGAACAATCTGACTAACCACTTGACCATCCAGCGTGGCGAATTGCTGCTGAGCAGCAGGCTGCTGCTGCTGTTGGATAACATAGCCACCGTTAGGTAGCGTATTCAAGACGACCGCTTGCTGCCCGTGCAACAGGCCTGTTGTAGCCGTAGCGGCGTTCTGTGTGGTGGTTAACAGTTGATTGCCGGAAATTAGTTGCTGACCGCCAGCATGAATAATATTGCCGGTATTGGCAGTTGTCGCCAACGCCACTTTAGTCCCATTGCTTGTAGTTAGTATATTCTGACCAGCTGAATTTAAAATAACTGTAGCAGGCTGCAATTGTGTAGTAGTGGTTGTGGCACCCGCTGTGGACGCTTGACCTACAATGTAGCCACCTTGATGTTGATGCTGCTGTCCATTTTGTAGTATGATGCTGCCATTTGCGGTGGTCAGCTGTTGGTGACCGCCCAGCACTTCCAGTTGGTTCTGTGGGTGGTGCTGATGTTGGATGATAACGTTGCCGGTTGTCGTTTGCCCAGCACCACTGCCTGTGCCGTTGCTATTGGCAGCTGTGGTGATCAGCAGTTGCTGCTGGCCTTGCGCTTGCTGCTGCTGCAATTGTGCAGTGGGTTTGCCATTAGTCGGCATAACAATTAACTGTCCAGTGGAGGTCATGATGATTTGACTTGTGGGTAGCTGTAGTGGAATTGTGTTGTTGGGCTTCTGTACTGTGGCTTGCAACTTTTGCGGTTGTGGGGGCGGAGCAAGCGTGTCTAAATGCTGCTGGCTAGCGCTTATTGTGTGTGTTGTTGCTGCGGCTGTAGTTGTAGTGGCGGTTGTTGTTGTAATGGCGCGGCTAGCGGCTATGGATGTGAGAGTATTGCGCGCAAGCGCTATGCGTTGTGGTTGTTGTTGCTGATGCTGTTGTTGCGGTGCCTGGCGTATAATGCGTATCTGCTGTGTGTGTTGCTGTTGTGGCGGCTGTTGTTGTACACGCATCTGTACTACCTGATTGGAGTTGGCTTGCGACGTGTGTTGTTGCTGCTGTTGCATTGGCGATGGCGATGCAGTCATTTTGGAGGAAGAGGCGCGTGAGCTGCCCGACTCGACAGAATCAGCTGGAGATGGACATGGCAATGGGCTCTCATTGCTTGTTGATATTGCACCGACCTGTTCTGGTCTTGGCGTATGACGCTGTGACTCGGGTATGGAGCGCGCAAAGGCGGTGCTTGAGGAGACCGGCGATTCTTGCGCGGTTGGCACAAGATTCAGCTTCTGCGAATGTTGCTGTGGTTGCGTTTGTTGTTGCCTATATACCATGTTTTGTTGTTGCATGAGTTGTATTTGTTGTGGTTGTTGCTGCTGCTGTTGTAACTGCATCTGTTGTTGTGGGTGTTGTTGAGGCTTCAAAGTGAGCGTGAAATTTGCACCACCATCAGCAGCCATTGAGGTTGGCACTATCAGCTGACCGTTGATGGAAACCAGATTCATTGGCTTTAGTTGCTGGTTTTGCTGTTGCTGTTGCAGTTGAGCCTGCTGCTGTTGCTGTGGCACATGCACTTGATTAGCGGTTACAATGATTTGCTGTGGATGAGTGCCAATTTGTTGACTTTTACGTTGCTGCAGCTGCTGTTGTTGCGATTGCTGCTGTTGTGGTCGGTAAAACATGGTCTCCTGCTGCTGCTCTTGTATCTGTGCCTGATAGTGTGCCACACCATTTTGCACATAAACTTTCTTGGCATAAGTGCCTTGTGGTTTCTTATCACAAATTGAAGTGCCTGTCGTTTCCTGCGGCATATGCCGCATATTTTGTTGCATTGTTGTATTGACATTACCGCAAGCAATGTTGTTGTTGCCACTTGCCATATGCCTCAGCTTAATCTGCTTATCTTCCTCAGACACGCTTTCATAGCCATCAGTGTCATCGGCATCACCCCCATTATCCGCCATTTCTGTGTCATCCTGAGCACATGCATCGGCTTCGAGCTCGTCGTCTTCCTCTTCCTCGTCTTCGTCGTCGTCTTCGTCTATAGCAACATTCATCATTGAGCTGTGCAGCAGCGCTGTCTGTTGCTGCAGGTATCCTGTGGGATCATCTTTAAAATTCGGCTGCTGTTTCTTCACCGGCGAAGCGAGTGAGCGCTTTATGTAGCGCGTTGTGTTTTGTTGATGGCTCATGCCACTGCCGCCGCTGGCGGTCGTCCAAGTGGGCGTTGCCACATTGTTTTCTTCGCCAGCAATTGTGGTTATCGCATTTGTTGTTGTAGTAGCAGCTTGCGGCAATGGTGGCACACGTTCAGCATCTTTGGGCCACATTTTGTTGTCTGTTTTAAGTGAGTTGGGCAAATGTTGTTGCTGTTTTATTTTGATGTCTCCATTGTTTGTCACATTCTTTATCACATTTTGCTGTTGCTGTTGTTGTTGGTGCTGCTGATAATGCACCTGTGCAGGCGGCATCATTTTATTAGGGTTTTGACTAGCTTGTTGTTGTACATTCGTGTTGACTGCTATTGTTGCACTTACGCTAATATTAGTAGCTGTGGACATTGAAGCCGACGCTATGCTGCCATTGTTAGCCAACTTGCCACTTTTAATGTCTGAAAATAAAAGATAAACAGGGAAAAAGTGAGCATAAGCGGGTTTTAAATAATAGTAGTTAGGCATAACTAAATTGCTGGAATTACAAAAGTTTTCATTTAATATAAAAAGTATAAGTAAGAGAGCGATAAGTTCGGGTGTAACTAAACGTTTTATACTTTGGCAATTTGTGAGGTCCAAAGGCGGCGAAATATTTTCAGTTGGTTCTGTTTGGCTCGCAACAATATCAAGTGTCTCCGCTTGCCTTGCAGCAAGAGAACTTACTACAAATAGAGAGTTTTTTAAGAACAATCAGCAAGCAAGCTGACTGGGGCTGGTGCCGTCTGGGTCGTCTGCGTCTGGTTCGCGGTAACTCACTCGAAACTAGCGGAATATTTAATCGTCATTCAGTCACTTAGCTATATCTAACATTGCTTTGTTGTTAGTCCAATAGAATTACTATTTTAAACTATTATGTTATAACTGTTATTATTGGTGTTTTCGGGTGATGCCAGAATTAAAGTTTTTTGTCACCCCTGCACTGCAGTACTATAAGCTTTACCTCTTTATAATAAACTCTCGGGTTTTCCAATAGGGATGATATGATTTCTAAGTGGCGTTTCGGCTATTTTAAATATGTCATGATCTGCAACTTTTTTTCATTGTATTCAGTAATGTTTACATTTTTATCATGGAAAGATATACGCAAGAACAACGTTTACAAATTAATCAATTTTATTATCAAAATAATCGTTCTTCAATTGCATCTTTTCGAACGCTTTTCGAGGCTCACTTTCAATGGTGCAGTAAATGAACAAAACTATCAATTCTGGTGCGAAGAAAATCCAAAAATTATTCATGAACAACCATTACATTCACCTAAATTGAGAGTTTGGGGATTTAACACCATTGGGCTACTTCTTGTAGGGTTATTTGAAGTCATTGGTCTTTAGCAATAAACTCTCTTCAATCTTTAGAAGTCAATATTGAATGTGCAATTCATGACATACGACTTAATTTAGTGGAAAGAGTAATCGAAAATTGGGTTAATCGAATTCGTTCCTGCAAAAAAAAAAGTCGTGGAGGGCATTTGAATGATGTTATATTCAGAACTTAATTGTATCGATTATACTTTACACCAAATAAAAAACATTTGAATTTCCTTAACAATTAGTGGTTTTTTTTTAAATCATATCATTCTTATTGGAAACCCTTTATTTCTTTAGAATATTAAGTTTGCAACACCCAGAAGGAAATGTCGGAGACCCCATAAAATATTTACATAAATGATCAGCATGATGAGCTGGATTGATTTAGCCATGTCCGTCTGTTATATACAGACAGACGAAATAGTCCCTCAGTTTTTAAGCCATCGTTCTGAAATTTTGCGCCTGTCCTTTTCTCGCTAAGATGCTGGTTTTTTATCGGAACGGCCGATATCGGACCACTATAGCATATAGCTACCATACAAACTGAGCAATCGGAACCAAGTGCTTGTATGGAAAACTTTTATATTTGACGTAAAATCTTCACGAAATTTGGTATGAGCTATTTCCTAAGGCAACAATGTAATCTTCGAAGAAATTGTATAGATATAATTACTATAGCATATATCTGCCATATTAACTGAACGATCGGCGTAAAGTGTTTGCATGGAAAACTCTTTCATTAGACGAGATATCTTCACAAAAAACTCTTTCATTTGACGAGGTATCTTCACGTAATAAGGCATGATTTGTTGTTTAAAGCAATAATGTATTCTCCGAAGAAATTATTCATATCAGATCACTATATCATATAGCTGCTATACAAATTGAATGATTGGAATCAAGTTCTTGTATATGTGAAGGGTATTATAGCTACAGTGAAACCGAAGTTAATATTTTTCTTGTTTTAATAAATATTTGTTTATTATTAAAATAGAGAATAGAGATCAGCACCGTTGAAGGAAAAGAGAGCGTATTATCGAAATAGGTAGGTACGTAGGTAGGAGAGCTGTCCACATTGACGTAAGTAGCGCTGAATGCGCCATTTTGGTGCACTATCGTAGGACCTTATACTTTTGCTATCTTGTTTCATCGTTGAAGTATTTGGTATCGGGTTTGTTATAGAGCGGGCATTCACAGAGAAAGTGAAAGACCGTTTCTTTATTCCCTTTTAGCTTGCAGCTGCGGCAAATGTTGTTATAAGGCAGGCCCATTTTTAGCGCATGCTCTCCAAAGCGTCATCGCCACGTTATAGTGGCTGTGAGTCTATATATACTGTTTCTGAACCTATTAAATAAGTCCTTGGTTTTATTTTTGTTAAACTTAGCAATATCTGTTTGGTTATCTTGCAACTTGGTATTGATTTCCATCTGCTCTGTGCTATATGTACAAAATTCATATAAAGCTCTCTTATGATCATTTGCAGCGGTCATGTAATTAACTCCGCCTCGGATTTGTCTAAAGAGCCTCTCGCTTTGTTAACTCATCTGCCTTTTCGTTGCCGAAAATGTTTCTATGACCGGGAACCCAAATTATGTTTGAGTCGACTTGACCTTCTAAAGAGCTTAAGGACTTCCTGCAATTGTATACTACACTTAAATTAATCCTTGGAGCCGACAAGGCCAGCATTGCTGCCTGGCTATCCCTGTATATTGTTGCTTTCCGTATCCTTTCGTAGTTATTCAATAGAACTCCACAGGCCTTCTCTGCACCTAGTACTTCCGCTTGGAAGATATTGACTGAGTTTGGTAGACGGATAGAAAGAGGATGTCAAGATCATTGGAGTATACTTCTGTCCCTACTTCGCAGTCCATTTTGGACCCGTCGGTATAGATAGAGGTATTATCTTCCTCCCCTACTACCCCTCTTCTCCATTCACATCTAGAGGGTATCCTCACCCGAAAAATACTACTGAAATGTAACCTTGGGTATCCACCCATAGATTGACTTACTTAGGTTAAGCTGATTCAGAATGGCACTATGTCCACATTCTTTCCATCCACAAGTCATGTCGTCAATGCCGTCATATGACAGAGATTCGATAATTGTGCTTATTTCTATGTTGTTGAAAGCTCCTTCTATATCAAGAAAGGTTGACATTGTGTATTGTTTGTTCTGAAGTGATTTTTCGATTACGTTAATCACTTCGTGTAAAGCAGTTTCGGACGATCGACACTTTATGTAAGCATGTTGTGCACTCGATAAAGTATCTCCTAGGATTAGCCTTAAGTGTATATCCATTAGCCTTTCTAGAACCTTTGGCATGAAAGAGGTAAGGCTTATTGATCTAAAGCCTTTCGGAGTATGTAAGATAATTGAATCCTGGCATTATATATCTTTTTTTCCCTTGCAAATTATTACTCACATACATTTATTACCTAAGTTGTCATCACCGAATAAATGTTAACACATTGGATTAGAATGGTAAATTTTAATCAGCTGATTATATGTCTGCTGAATTTCTCGATTACTGGCAGAGAAAATGAAAATCTGTTAAATGGAATGTAAATTTGAACAAATAGTCGAGAATACGAATAACTAAGTTAATATAACTTTGAATTGAGGTGTACAAATTACTTTTTGTGTTCTATCATTAGGTCTATATACCTTCAACATGGGTGTAGGGATTAAAATTAGAATTACTAGCCGCCGATTAAAATTTAATTCATTTTCATCTTTTAAAAAGGTGAATTAATTTTAACTCACATGGCAACTCAAACATTTCTTCGAAAACTTGTTCCTATCACCACCGCTTCTCTTGCACTTTTGATTAACGGCACACATTGATTCATAAATTTTCAATGTGTATATCAATGTCTATTGCAAACCCACATTAAGGATTCCACAATAACATTCAAGGAGTTGCTGCTATCATAAGATTGGAATCAATAAATTCTCACTTTAACCACGGCGTAGCCGCCCAAATATCGGCTGCGGCGGAATCGAGGCAATCAATACTTGCGATTTACACACTTTTAACTTCTACTCAGACAATTAATCATCATTGCAGACACCAGACGATTGTTCACATATGTTCGCACAGCAGTGGTCCGACGGTAGACGTCGGCGATCAACGAAGTAGAAATGCGAGAGTGACTCTCATATGTATGTATACGAGTATATATAAGCTATAGTAGCGTTGCTGTGGGCGCTAAAGGACCCAGCTTAAGTGAGGAGAGGAACAGCGAGTCGATGCACTTTAGAAAACTATGGAATTGTTATACTATATGTGTATGTGTATGGGTATAATCGTTTTCAATAGCGTCAGTATTTGTTGTATCAGCGGTTAACGGTAGCGCGCAGTAAATTAATTCACCACTTTTACCTGCAAAAGCTTCATAAAAGCAATCAATTAAAATGCTTCGATAAAATCTACATGCAAACACAAACTCTTTAACTGTGCATAAAACGAATTGCTTCCAAGTACATACATGAATATGTGCGCATAACTGTCCGTACATACATATGTACATATTTATATGTGGAAAAGGCATAAAAGCGCCTACGCCAGTGACGGAAGGACCAAATTGCTGCAAAACGGCAATGTAAATATCAGCGCATAAGGCATATGTATGTGCGCAGAGTTTACATACTTATACACACACACATACATACGAGCATAGGTAGGGGTGCATAACGTGTTCATTGCGGTTGAGTTGACAAAGCCCCATGGCTTTTGGGGGAAACTACTGTAACTTAAGTTTCATAAATGCTGCACTGTTGGAAAAATGCGAACGAATGAACTTGTAAAGAATAAAAACATAAAATAAAACAATAAATAATTATGAACAGACATAATTGTCGTAGTTGCGTTCCCTGTTTCTAACTGCTTCTATGGCATATTTCATTATTTTTGCGCTGGCTTATCGCCTTAACTCAATCTAACCCACAATTATGGCGCTTTACAGTTATTTGCACACACACACACTTCTGTATGTACAGCTGTGTGCAAGTACTTTGGCAGCGAAAATGAACAAACAAATGTTGACCAGCGAGGATGTTGCATGTAAACAAGTGTAATTATGCTAAGTAAA